CCCCCACCCCGCCGAGGGCTCCAGGGCAAATCTAGCACCAGCGGGAGTCGCACCGCCACTGGCCGTGGGGTTGTCGAACGCCCTGATCCATGTCACTGGGGCTGGTTGCAAGGGATGCCGAAATGTGCGGCCCCTGCTCCGCCATCCCCTGGTCCCCTGCGCTCTGCCCTCACCTGCTCAGACAGGAAGAGCTCCAGCTTGCCATCCTGGACCACGTAGATGCTGGTGTCCGGCTGCCCGGGGCGGAAGACGTACTCGCCCTGCTGGCACTGCTGGAAAGTCATGTGCTTGCACAGCTCCAGGAACAGGGGCTTCTCAAAGTGACCCAGCACCCTGTGAGGAAGGGAGAGGGCGGCATCGGCACCGGCATCGTCGCCACCACCACCACCACCCACCGCCACTCTGGGCGGCCCTCAAACTCCCATCCCAGGGCCCCTTCCAAGCTGAGACGCCCCCCGCCGCCCCCGGGGGGGGGGGGGGGTGCCAGGGGGCTGACAGGCCCTCTCTCCGTGAACTGAAACCCTGGGGTGGCTTGCAGGCTCCACTCCAGCCTCCGTACAAGAGGGAATGGGCACGCGGAGACGACCACACCGGGGCATCGGAGATTAGACCCACAGTCCACATTTTGTATTTACTGAAAGCACTTAAACGAAGAGTACGGGATAACCCCCCCCCACACACACACACACACCCCTGCAGTGTTCACACAAAGTCCAAAGGGCATAACATGACATTCAAAAAGCTCCTGCTTAGCATGAAGAAGAAGTGGAGACTGGATTTACACCCCACGGCCCTTCACGACCCAAGGTGGAGTCTCAGGGCGGCTGACAGTCTCCTCCCCCTCCTCCTCCCCACAACGGACACCCTCCCCCCCTGTGTGAGAACAGCTCTGAGAGGAGAACTACGGCTTGCCCAAGGTCACACCAGCGGGCCGCATGTGGAGGAGGAGGAGTGGGGGAACCCAACTCGGTTCTCCCAGATCGGGGTCCGCCTGCACTTCACCACCACGGCACCAGGCTGGCTGGGGGGGTGGGGTGGCCGTGGGTTGGTTGGGGGGGGACACGTGGCGGACTGTCAGGGGCTCATGCTCCACCGAGCCTGAGGACCTCTGAGCTAAGAAAGGGCAGCTGAAGAAGCGGGGCCGTGTAGCACTGCTTAAGA